AATAGTCCACTTACAGTTACTGCTATCATAAAAATACACTTTATATGTAGGTTTAAAATTCTACAAAAGACACATTTAATGTCCAAAAACAAATGTTTTAGCAAAATGTATATTTTACTCAGAATTATTTCGCTCCTATTCGATTGCGCTCTGTCTGTTTAGCGAGCAGCCGCGCTCGTTTCCTGACAGCGAAATGGATATGTTTGCATGACTTTCTAACATTTACAGATGAAAAATATACTTGTGACATGTCCGTTATGCACTGAGGAAAACACAACGTCTCAAATGCATTAAACATGTGTGTGTGTGTGTGTGTGTGTGTGTGTGTGTGTTTATGTTTAGATTAGTGCATTCCCTATGAATTAGTTAAATAATTAGTTAAATAAACTGCTACATTCACCCAAGATTGTTTCTGTGTTTCTAAAGTGCCTTCAACAGTCCGATATTGCTACAGGTTCAGGTTCTAACACTGTACACAGTAGGAAAAGTTATTTTCTGTGGCCAGGAAAATAAGTTTTAAAGTTCAAGTTCAAGTTGCTTTATTGCCATGACATTTGTATTATAGTATTGCCAAAGCATTTTAAGTATGTGTAAATTACAGAATATAATTACACCACCAAATGAATAAAGGAGACAATAAATGTGTAACAAATGAGAGAAAATAAATAAATAAATGCAATACAATAAAAATAACAACAGCAGACAGTATCTCTAATATTAATTATAATAATTACAATTATATACAAATGAAGAATATGTAAAATAAAGCAAATTAATACAATTAATTAACCATTTCTAAGTACTGTAGCCTACTAGCTTACATTTGATTTACCTATTACAATTAGTCCACTTACAGTTACTGCTATCATAAAAATACACTTTATATGAAGGTTTAAAATTCTACAAAAGACACATTTAATGTCCAAAAACAATTTTTTTACAATTATATACAAATGAAGAATATGTAAAATAAAGCAAATTAATACAATTAATTAACCATTTCGTATGGTATGTATGGTGTATACATATTTTGCAGCTAGTTTGACTGCCATGTCATCCTCTTCGAGTTTCTAATTTATAGTCATTTAGTGTAAAGAATGAAAAATTCAATGCTTCAAATTGTGGAAAGAATATGTCTCTTGTAGTGTTGTACTTGGGACAGACAAGAAGAAAGTCTTTCTCATCCTCTATTTGATACATGTCACAGTGTTTACAAAGTCACTGTTCTTTAGGAGTCCAGGATTTTTTATGTCTTCCTTTCTCTATTTCTATGTCGTGGTCACTGAGTCGATATTTTGAAAGAATTTGTCTTTCTTTTAATTGTTTAATTGATAAGTAATTTTCCAATTTTGTGGTTCTGTTTAGGGCCGAATAACACTGGAGTTTGGTTTGGAGGTCAAATTTGTTTTTTAATTTTTTCATCATAATTATACTTTAGATTTTTGTCAATTTCTTTATGAATGTTGGGGTTGTGGTTGGAGTCAGGCTCAGCTTGAGTTTCATTCATTAGTTTAAGCATGAGCATATTTAGAGGATGAGACACTGTGGGGTTTCCATTGGCAAGAAGGGCTTTATATTGAATAGATTCAGTGTAAGATTGACTCAAGTGATGCCAGAATTGAACAGCTCTTTTTTGTATTTCAATGTGTAAGGGATGCAGGCATTGCTAGAAGTGCCTTGTTTACCCTTAGAATGTTGTTTTTTTTTGTGCCAATTCCAATTGTGTTCTTTCTATTAAACTTTTATCCCAATTTTCAAACTTTAATACTGGTCCCCAAATGTAAAAAATTTTAAATAATAATATTTCTTGAATTCAGTGAACAAGAAGATAAACAAATGTCTTACAGGTGTGGAATGACATGAGGGTGAGTAACTGATGAGAGAATTTTCTGTGGGGGTGAACTATTGTCGAAGATTTTTATTAATCAAAATATGAATTAATCAAGTATAATCAAGGCGAATCTAGCCATTTATATATCCAGTTATTCTTCCATTATAATCATAGAAGCCTGGGTGTAAAACAGCCTGCAAAGCTGAAATATACAGACCCTCAGAGAAGAAACATCTGGAAAAATACCAGTGGGTTTTTTTTTTCTTTACCATAACAGGACATGGGGGCCCCTTCTCTCTAGGGAGGAATCGAATTGTATGCATAAGGAAAACTGTATGAAATATATACCCCACGCCTTAAAGTCAAAACTGTATATAAAGAGAAGCAGAAAAACATTCTGGAGATTTTTTCTGCAGAGAACTTCTCGGCTTTATTCTTCTTGAAATAAAGTCTAACTTCTGGAAACAAAACCCCAAGACTGAGTGTGATCCCTCAGAGCAGCGGCGGACGACACTACAAATTGGCACTCGAAAAGGGACTGGAAAGGAGCAGCAGAGTGGACGGCCACTTTGGGCTGGCTTTGGCGGAGCAACACAAATGGTGGCCACCTAAAGGTACGCATTTTTGCTTATATAATTAGTTTGTGTTGTTTGCCGGTCTGCCCTTGGTGGTAAGGACACTTAAAATCTGCTCTTCCAGAAATAGAAAATAAATAAAAAATAAAAAAAGGGGTTTTGATGCCAGAAGAAATAACTGCATGCACATATTTGGTTTACTGTTAGGAAGGCCTTGATAGGTGACCTAAATTGAAACTGGATGGTGTAGGCAGAAATACATTGCATGCAATGGTCTGTGTTTATTGGAGACTGGACCTAACAGGACAGCAACAATGAAGTAGATATAGTATAGGAACACGCGCAAAGTCCTTTGGCTACCACTCTGTAGGAGAGGAAAAGTACAGAGGGCTGAACGGAAAGGCAAAAATCCCTGCTGGGCGCTGATTTTTTACTGAGAAAAGGGAAATTGTCAGTAAAAGAGCGAGAGCACTGCAGGTCGCTCAAGGAAGAGTGTAGTGTTTTGTTGGATGAGTCTGAAACTGTGTCTGTGTCCGTGTGCATGTCTGTATGAGTGATGGTGAATGTATGAGAAAATAAATAAATTCCATATTGGGTGGGTAAGGGCTGCGCACCCCTCCTGGCAGAGTGTGGACGCAGCTCTTGCCACACCCGAGAGGAATGAATGAGTGATTAGCCCTGTATGAATAAAGGGACAAAGTATGAAAAAATTAGCCCTATAAATAAAGGGACAAAAGAATGAAAGAATGAGCCCTGTCTGAATAAAGGGACTAGAAGGAGTGAATGTGTTTAGGTGAATATAAATAGTGAATATAAATAAAAATTTAATCAAGATCTTTTATAGGCTTTTGCATTTTGGATGTCTGTGTGAAAAGAAGGAGAACATTTTCTGAGATCAGTGCAGTAGAAGTGAGATCAAGGCACTAAGTTAAATAAGTATATTAAAAAATAATTATAAGTGCGGACAAAATAATAAAGAGAAGTA